ACACAGTCAAGTAAAGCATTTTAAAATTCTGAAAATGTGTGCAAAGTTTTTGTGTGGCTTACCAATAAAACACAAACGTGTCCTATTATTTATTCAAATAACCCCTGATGACTTTGCAGTTAGTCTGTCATAATGCAAAAATAAAATCCATGTGCTGCTGTCAACATTTTTACTACTGTAGTAAAATTATCAATCAGCTTTGACCTTGTGTCTCTGTTCCTGCTGTCAGACACATTCTCACTTTCCTGACGTTTCACAGCTTTCAAAACAGCTGCCAGCATCCCAGGGCCTAGCCAGCCAGGCGAGTTCAACCTTAGAGCGGACTGCGACGTGCTAAAAGAAACACTAAAAAACACCAAAGTTTTTATGGCGCCCACAGGTTCTTGCCGCTCTTGATGTTGAAATGCATGTCTGCATTCCGAGACAACCAATGTTGAACTTTGGTGTGACCTGTGCAAGGAGGAAAAGCCTTCCTTTCTAAGAAAACACGAGGATGGATGTATGCGAGAGAGAAAGGAGACAAAGCATGATACTTCTGTTGTGCTCTAACCTTCTTTGTACAGATCCATCTAAAATTGAATCATTTCAAATAGAGAATGTTATTAATGTATTTTTCCACAAACTAGAGATGTTTTTTTTTTTTGTTTTTTTTTGCTGGTTATGTACCTTTAAATTTTTCTTGATTAAAAAATACATGTATTAATATGGGAACATTTATTAAAAAGCTACACATTAAATGGTTGCCCTATTTTTTTTCCACAAAATGTTTTTTTTTTTTTATCTATCATATTTAGTTGTATTTTCCAATTTTTCCTTCTTCCTGTCTTTTTTAAGAAGCTCAAGAAAAGAAGAGAAGGAAGGAAAACATCCGGACCAAAGATGATCATGCGTGTGATTCACATTCTGGTTGTCAAGGCATGAAAACATCTAAAGCATCTGAGGTTCTGCTCTGTTTGGGTCACCAGCGAATGAGGACGGCTTTAGATGAAGATAGATTCAGCAGAAATAGAAACAAAGACTCAGAACAAGCAGTTGGAGCGTTTGCCTGCCTTGACCTACATGGGCCAATCCCAATCCTATTAGGCTGTTAGCTGCTCACTTAGCCTCGGTGTGAAGAATGATGGTGTCATGTCAGGCCAACGTGACAAACAGCACCTTTGGAAGCTCTGCAGTTTGTCTTGTTTTCTAATTGCCTGAATTGAACAGCTTGAACGGTTGGGTGTTGTTTGGACAGAAAACAAATATGAAAACAAACATTTACGTCAGTTTTAATGTTGCAACTGGCAACACATTGGCTTGACATGCGTTCACTGATGTGAAAATTGACCACATACAGTCATCAAAAACAACTTATCGGAGCATTTTCGGGGGTAATCCTTTATTCCAAAGCTGGATATTCTTACCTGAGGCAAAGGTAGTCTTTTGGACTTTGGAAAAAAACAAAAAAACAAAGAAAAATAAGTAACAAAAAGGTGAGCTCAGAAAAGTCTGAAAAGCAACATCTTAACTTTTCATGTTGTTTGGATTTCTACTTGAACTGTTGAAAATACTGGATCATTTACAATACATTCCAATTTCCCTGCGTCCAATCTGCTTAGACCTCCTGTTGAGGGACTTTTCATAATGTGACACCAGGAAGGCATCTCGCAAAAAGGTGACGCCTGCATACTTATCCCCTGCAGGCATATTTTTGGGACTCCCACAGAAAACATTCCTTGTAAACAACATTAACAAGGATGCAGAGTAACGGTGTGTGTGTGGCAGCAGTTTGAGTGGCAGGGTGATGACTCAGACCTCAGATTTATGAATTGCAAATGCATCATTTTCCCAAAGCTTTCACAGTAGACAGAATAAATTATATTTGTGCTGCATGTTGTTAAGGAAATAATGCAACAGTTATATTCACTTTCAGCCTGAATGTGCCTAACGATTTACTCCGAACACTTTGTTCCTCGTGGATGCTCCAGGGCAGAGAAGTCCAGGCGTCTCCAAGTGGTCTGTGGCTATCAGGAGTTAATCTTTGCAGAGTTGTTAATGATAAGAACAAATCCAGTTGAAGCACAAAGGCAGATTTACAAACTAATTAATCCAACATGATGACCACGCATGCTCTGTCTGTGACTTTCTAAATTTAATCCTATTGCCAGTGGAGACAGACAACAGGCAGATTGTTATTTTGATCCCAGGTACCAGCAAGTAAACATGAGAGTGGCTGAATTTAGAAAATGGCACATTAAACTGAAAATAATACTCCAACACACTGGCAGCGTCCTGTTGTTTTGTTATCCTGCCAACCTCTGAGGAGTCCATTTGTTATTGCAGAGAGGAAATCTCATATCCACCACAAAGAATTGTCTCCTTTGTTTCTATCAGAAAGTAGGAGCTCAATAAGAAGATGCTGTGAATACAATAAGGTACCACAACCCAAAATGTATCAAGATTCTGTATTACAGGTATTTTTGTATTATGTTTTTGCTAGTCTTTCTCTGTTACTCTGCTCGGATTGTCCTTCTATAAATTTAGCAAACAAAAAAGCGGAAAATATTATTATTTCTGTAAACTCTTGTAAATGTAAAACGTCTATGTGAATCGTTGGACACGTTCACCTCGTCGGGATTGAAAAAGAGATGCGATAATCAGCTTTGGGACCGATTTCTGAAGATTTGAGTGGTGAACACAAATTCAGGCACATTGAAGATTCCCTAAAATTTCCTTTTTGCCTTTTTGTTTTATGTGGCTGAGTACCAAGGAAAAGCCCAACAGATTTACTTTCACAAGTATATAAGCACATATATAGTTTTTCACATTTACTTAAATACTTCTACCACTTCACTGTCTCGTTGATATTTCTGTCTCTAGGACAAGTATGTTCACTAATTCACTACACATGGCTTCTCTTTCCCTTTACTTTACTTCTTCAGTCTTGAAATGTTTTCATCCCACTCAGCTAAGCCGTGTGACAGGTCCTCCACTTTCCCCACCCACCTTTACATGCATCTGCTTCAGGTCACAGTGAAATTACCCGACAAGCCAGTGTCTGTCATTGTCATGCCACAGCACACAGGGAAATGTGCCATCTGTGTCCTCCTTTTTTTAGGGGTTTGAACACCTAACTGATGCAAAGACACCAACACATAATGCTTTACAGAGGCCAGAGACAAAGTTGTTGGCGCAAGCAAATGGCAAACTATCCATAAAAAAAATAAAAATAGCTTCTCAATATTGTGATTTTCAAAGATGATGATGATTTTTATTCACTGTTAAATATGATTTTAATTAAGGATTCTGATGCACAACCACCAATCAGTTAGAGTTGTATAGAAAGCACAAAAACTCAAACAGTGATGTCAGAGCCTGACCATTGCCTGGCTAAGCCCTCCGGTTCCATTCTCATCTCACTTCAGTCTGAACTTTCTCCCACTGAGCTTGATTTCTGTTGTAGAAAATCTACTGGGCCAATCAGGGAACACAAGGAGAAGTTATGAATGATGACGTCAATTTTCTGCTCTGTTTTGGAATTGTAGTCTGGCTGTGGTTTTAACAATGGCAGCAGTGGAAGTGAACGAAGCCATTGAGTCTATGTTGGTCACACTTCCAAATATCGAATTAACATTAACAGCCGTCTGGTTTGGCTCAGCACCTTCTGTCTTCGCAGTGGAACGTGGTTGTTTACAGTGCAGGTAATTTTTGGTAAGCTTCTTAGCATTCGTAACTGGTGCATTACATACGTCATGGACAAATGTTGGTGTTTGGGTTAAATTTAAAACTTCAGCAGAGCCCGTGCCTCCAGGAAGCAATCGTTTGGCAATAGCCGAAGTGTAGAATAAGGGGCTGGTTTTTACAAAGCTAGTGCTCTTCTAGCAGTGGACTGAAAGGCTGGACAACACAGGCTTGTTATTTTAGTTTTTGTAGCAACAAGCTAAGTGTTGCTGTTGGACTTCTATAGTTTTGTACTCATATTACGACATAGATTTGTCCAGTAGAGTGGTGCAGGGCTGTAAACAGTTCGCAACACTTTCAGCGATTAAATGTTTTAAATTGAGTCGTAGGTGTAGAAACTTTTAAATAATTAATATTTTCTTTAATTTAGTTGCATTCCTTCTTGTCAAAATGACGATGAGTGCTATTTTTGGTCTACGTAGAGAGAGGAGAGCTGTTTAATGTGATGTACTGGCAATTTCTTTATATCTATTGCTGGAGATAGGCATCAGTGACTCTACGACCCGGCACCGGGTTAAGTAGGTATAAAAAGCAGATAGTGTAGATGGATGGATGAGTTGTTTAATTATACCTTTCAGCAACCTGCCATAACCTGGCACCAGAACAAATTTGGCTTTTAACCCCAGCTTCTGCTTCACTGACTCCTAACGGCTGCAATAATCATAATCAGCAAAGCCTTCGGTGGTAATAAAGTCAGAGACGAAGATAGATGTTTTGTGCAAAGCACTCACATTTATTGCTTTTGCTGCAACAGTTTTTCTCGACTCAGACAGAGATGGTATCCTTTGCTAAAGCATAATGTGATTTACATATCTCTGATGGAAGACCAACATGACGTTCGGCTGTGCAACAGGAATTTGCTCGTGTTGAATCGGCAGCCTCGAAGAGAATGGGTGGAAGAGGAGAAGATTGTAACACTCCTGAGGTATCGCAGTGACGGATTTCAAAGTCCCTTTTGTTACATTGAAAATACACGGAGAACATTCTATCGGTTTCCTTCCCTTTGTGCGTAAAGAACTGGGTGTAAGGAAGATAGAGACAGGAAGAGAGGAAAAAGGGAGGCAGAGATAAACACAAGATTTAAAAAAAGAAAGAAAGAAACATATGGAAAGGCAGGGAACAAATAAAGTGCAGAAGGGATTCCTCTTTTATTTCCAGGTCAAACCTCTACAACATCAAAAGCTGCTTCATCTGTGCAGCATGAAGGTAATAGATTATCCACCTGAGGAACAACATTAGGACCACATGGGGGAGAACAGTGGCAAGAAGGGTGAAGGCAAAGGAAGGAGGGCTAAACAATTCCATATTTCGCCAAGTCGCTGAGCTCCATGTCGCCGAAGGCTTCCCATGGGCAGACCACTGTGAAGTCTGTGCCAAGGCCCTCCATGCCTGGAATGTCATCTCCAAAACTAAATCAAAGAAACAGAGAAGCTTTGATTAGCACAAACGGAAAACCTGAAGGCTGGAAATGTGGCCTAAAATATCAAAGTGAATCTTTCAGGTTCTCACCCCTTCTGGCCTGGTTTAGGTGCCTTGCTCTTGAAGGTACGAGCGGCCCTCTGCTTGAATTTGGGAGGGGCCTTCTTCTCAGCGGGAGTTGCGACGTCTGCCATTTTTATTTGGTCACTGAAAGCGAAGAAAGAAAGAAATACATAAGCCTCTTCCCAAGTTTTCTTCCACCTATCTTGTGCCTTACAATTTCACAAACATGTCCTTCATTTTTGTCCAGTTTACAAATAAAGAAGCTAATCAAAAGGTAAAGGCAATTTAATTTTTATAGCACAATTTCAGCAACAAGGCAATACAAAGTGCTTTACAGGAATTAAAAGGAAATACAAACAAAATAGCAAACCGAAGGAAAGAGCAAAAGAAGAAAAAGCTAATAATGTTGATCCAAAGTAAATAAGTAAATAAACTAGATACTCCTATTCAGGGTTGGTAGATAAGTATAAGTAAGTATCCTCTGGTCTAATTTCTTTTCTGGTTTGGAAGAATAAGAGTCCAAAAAGTAGTTGTTAAGGTAGTTTTTCTGGGTTCCAAGTTCTAATCCCAAGTAACAATTTAAAAACTAAATGGATGACGAACTGCAATGAAAAAAAACACTGGGTAGCTTGAGAGATGCAGAGTTCGGAAACGCTTTTCAAGGCGTCTGTGCGGCTCTATTTCTATCAGCACAAGTAAAGGGAAAAGTAACTAACAGCTACACTTTCTCTCTACATATAAAACCCTTTTAACATATCTATGAAGAACAGATTGTCAAAGACGTAAAACTGCAGAAGAGTCGACTAAATTGTAGTCATCTCACCTTGTTGTTCAGTGTTTTTTAGAAGCTGTGTGATGAGCTTGTTCGTTTCTCCTCTCCCGGTCTGAGCGTCTGCTTTTAAAGTCCCCGAGCTGCTAATCCTGCTGTCAGTCTTTTGAGTTGGCACCTTTTCCAGACCCTCCCCTGTACCAGCTCAGCTGCAAATAGGTGAGATAAAGGATGGCCAGATATAAATCCATGGTGTATTTTAAGATGGACGTGCTGGTCAACGTGCAAATTCAACAGAATCGCAGCCGCCGTGTTATTTGAGGCCAGTTGATTGGCAGTATGCATCTTGACTATTTCACATTATTTTTGCATTTTAAAAAAAAAAGGTCTAATGGCTTTTATTGAAAACAGAAAAGTGACTAATGAACTGATCAACAATGTAGTATGTTGCATGTGCAGCACAAAATCTACCATAAAAACTTATTAAACCTAGTATTTTCAAATACTTAATATGCAGAATACTGGAAGTTTATACGCTGACATTAGCTGGTGTATTATTGATCTATCTGCTAGCCTGCAGTCAGCTGCTTTACAGTCGCAACACCTGCAGCTTGGAAATGCTTACTGAGCGACACTTCAACATAAATGATGGTCGGTGCTCCTTTAATTTCCAGTTTTCCACCATTCCAGATATGGGCAAACAGCCATGTTAGTCGTTTTTAACTGTAAGAGAAAAGTGGAGACTCACAGGGGAACACAGGACACAAAACCTCAAAAAATAACTACACAGAAAACACAGATCGTTACACCTTTCTTCTGCCAGCTGACTGGTTGTGCACTGCCACAGGTGAGGTGCTTTGCGATGCAATTTGGATGAAAAGCCCTTTTGCAAAGTACATTATTATGTTTTTGCTTCTTTTGCGGGGGGGAGATGGGGGCTAGTGGCCTTTATTGAACAGTAAATAAGGTAGACAGAGAAGGAAAAACATGCAGTAAATGTCCCCAGACTGGCAGTTGAACCCAGGATGATCACAACCTCTGGACATGGTGCGTGTTCTCAATCAAATGAGACACCCAGCTCCCAGTTTTGCAGCTTTTATTCAATAATTCCAAATCTTGCATATCTTTTAGCAATAATACCATACTTGCAAAAGTTTTAAACTATCCATTATCTATTTATGCTAATTATTCAAGGAGCAATGCTGTTTCTGATTGGTGATCAATTGTTCTGCTCACTTTTCTTCTTTGAACTTTGGATGCTTTCCTAAAAAAAAAAAAAAAATGTTCTGTGCACTTCTTGTAACCTGAAAACAGTGAAAACTACAGTATATTCTCTCAGTTTTCTTTTATTTGTATCTAAAAAAAATTGCTCTCCATCCGTTCTTTTTGGGAATCAAGAAAAATTATCATTTTTTTTAATATATATATATATATTTGTAAACATGTGTCTCAGGATCACCTGCTCAAAGGTTTGTAGTATGTGATATAAGACCCCAGAAGCCTTGAAGTCTTTGCAGGAGATCAGCCGCATGGAAAGAGATAAAGCGTACTTAATTATTCAGCTCTTAATCTGTCCCTTCATGGCCCCAGGGGAAAAGGTAACGCTCAGACTGTAAGTAGGACCTTAAGTGACCAATCATCAACGTGACACGAAGAGTCAGACATTACTTTATAAGAAAAAATGTTATTAAGATTTGCTATATGTCAGAGTCAAATAGACCAGAGACTGAATTTTAAACTGCTTTTATTAAAGGCTATGGTTTTAGAAGAAAACATAAGCTGTACACTTTTTGAATATTTTCACATATGGTTTTATGTTTTTGGACATAGAGCCACAGTGAGATTGAATAAATGTGAAATGACTGAAAGCTGTTTAGACAGTCGTGCAGCGTCATCGTAGAAGCACTTTCGCTGCTTTGTAATGGGATTTTAATGCTGTACAGACTGCAAGGTAGCAAATAATTGAGTTTTGCAAACAAAAGAAATCAGTAAACGTCTGTTTGTGTTCATCCTCCTTTACAATGATGCTCCTAAATAAAATTCAGCATTACTAACTGTCTTCAGAAGTCACACAGTCATGAAAACACCAGATTGTTGGGCGATGAGACAATTTCCCAAGCAATGAACACATCTTGGCTTTTCAATTCGTCCACAACCTGCAGAGTTTGGTTCTCCACCAGCCTGGTCTTCATGGGAGAGTGCCAAGAAGAGAGACACTTGAAAGAAAGTCACTGCTGGTCCTGTCCCACAAGCCATGTGAGGACAAAGTAAGCAGGTGGAAGACGATGTTCTGGTAAGATCCTGTCTGCAGAACTCTATTTGTGGTGGAATATCCCATATATCACCACAAACGCACTGCTCCCTACCATGAAAACTGATGGTGGAAGTATTTTGCTGACGGGGTGTTAAAAAACAGAGATACTCCATGTAGAACCTGCTGCTAATGAGCGTCACCATCCAGCAGATGACCCTGATCATTTTGCCAACTATGTAGTGAAATAATCCTTTCAACTGCTGACTTAGAAATTTCTCTTCGTAAACGTTCTTCATTCAATTTGACGCAAGTTTGGAAGGAACTGTGTTATTCTGTAGTTATTTGGGAAATAACTCGTTACATGTAACTGTGTTATACATTGTAATTTACTGGGGTTTTTTCCCCCCAAATCTTTCAGAGCATTTCTCTGATCAGAATTAAAGTTATTATAGTTGCTGGTTCAACCTCCACAATATTTAGTCATTTGCAAACATCATGTTAACAGTTCCACATTTCTTCCAACAAATTGCAAACCCGTTAGGATACATGCGTCAATTGCTTCCATTCTTTTCTGCTTTATTTGTAACATTACCATTTGCTCGAGTCAGTCGAATGAACTGAAGTCAGGAATGTTAAATGGTCATTCTCTACAAACTTAATGGTTCTCATTTTGCTGCTTGAGTCGTTACAAACAAAAAAATGTCGAGCAGGTTGTCAGAATCTGTCATGCAAATGTTCCCAACCCAGACATAATCTGAAACACCTGCGGTTTTAATTCCAGCCAACAGTGTTTCTACACACTATTGACTCGTGGAGCATAAACGCAAATTCATGCGCCGCTTTGGAGATTTGTTTTTGTGAAAGACAAAAAAGACTTTTGCTACTTTATATTTATGGGATGTTTTGTGATGATCTATCACATCAAAATGTGTGGCTATAAAGTTAAAAATGATGAAAACTGTAAATTTGTATGAATACATGTGCAAGGCAGGCACTGTGCTTTGTTTACAGTGTGCTGCTTCAGTGAGCAAGGTGACAAACCTTCACATGTCAAGATACAGTAGGGTATTAGAAAGCAGAGAGGGGAGGGGGGTATATAAGATAATCACATTGCAGAATGCACACACATAAGGAGCTGACCAGAGACACATCAGCATGAGGTAGGATGAAATCTGTGACATTCTGAGTGGCGCCAGTTGCATAAACATCTTTTTTTTTTCTTCGTTTTTTGCTTTAGAGTAACAATGAAAAATGACCTCTTAGAATTTTTCTAAGGCTATTTTGTAATTTGTATCGTTGTAGTGTTAGACTTTGGGGAAGAAGTAGGATTGGGGTTCTTGGAAAGCATCTCGAAGAGAACTGATGATGGTGACTTTTGTGAATCCTAAACTCTCCTCCTACAATTGATAAGATTAGATTTTATAGTGTCAATGTGTATTGTGTTACTTATTAATTGATGTTCATATAGCAGCTAAATGTCTGAATGCAAATATGCTTGGGTTTAGTTAGTTTTCTAATTCTGAAATCAGTTCAATTTTTGTGGCTGAAAACACTGAGAGGAACGCACTGAAGACATTATCTGAAATTCTGTATCTAAGAATTATTACTTGTTTTCTGTGATTCAAAGAAAAGCAAACTGATACTTGTGTAAAAGTCTGGCTTACTTAATGAGCCATAAAAATCCAGCCAGGGATTATCTTAAAAAAGGGAGTCAAGATTTTAAGAGCTAATAATAATAATAATAATAATAATAATAATAATAATAATAATAATAATAATAATAATGCAGAACCTCAAAGCTTCTTCCCATCAATAAAAGATGGAATAAAAACAGATCACTGGGTGCTCTGTAATTATTACAAAGCAGATTAAAACTAATTAGATAAAGTGTAAATAACAAAGTAGGGATCATCCCCTTTAAAGCTGGACACAAGAATTATTAGTCAGAAAAGTCTTTGCGTTTAACAATGGCCACATTATAGCATTGACGTTACATTGGTTATTTACAGAAGAAACATATAGTAAAATCTTAATCAAAACATGTTTTCCAGTATACCTATTTCTAAGTTATCAAATATTCAACAGTTTTTGGTTTGGTATTTGACCGTATGAAGAAAAAAAATTATTAAAAGATATATCTTTATGCTTTTTGTATTTACATATTTTCTATTAAACATTTAATGTCTAAGTTGTTTGTGTGACATTAAAAATAGATATTTTTAATATCATCCAGACCCCCTGTTACCATTAAAATGGGGCATTTTATTCTTATTGAAAACTCAGACTTTTAGAAGGGGCTTGCAAGTCAAACGGACATTTGACATATGTAGAACAACGACTCTCCACCAGGGGGCATATGTCAAGGATGCGATTCAATACAGAAGCCCTTTGAGAAAAGTACCAACTGTGGTACAGCGGTAGAGGTCCCAGAAATAAAAGTATATTAAAAAAATAGATTAAAATAGGGTTAAAATGTAAGAAGAAAAGAATTTTGAGTTTATGAAGTAAAAATTAAAACCAAGACTTCTCCCTGTGTACCAAACACTTAAATTTTTCTGTGACATGTTAAAACAAATGGAAGTACAAAAGCAAAATCTCTTTTTGTCAATTAACTTTTGTCAGGTTAAGAGATATTCTGGTATTTATGACTTTGAATAGACCGGGACAAGAAAAAAAACACAAAACAAAAACAAGAATAAGCTCTTTGCATAACAAGGTCTTAAGGTGGACTAATAGCTTTGGTGTATAAATTGACCTAATCTGGGAGAGTTATGTCACTGGATGTGGGCTAGGAGGGTCTTAGGTAAGAAAGCACGCAAAGGCTGTTTAATTCTGAGATTACCAAACTCACTGTACATTTTCTTCCAGTATCTAAAAATAACTGAAGGGGTATAGAGGACTTCAGTGAACATCAATGCATCAAATAAAATGCCAGATGATCAATCACTTCTAACTCAATAGCACTACTTGAGAAAAGATGACTCTTTATACCAATGACCCTCCTGTGAAATAATTCAGAGTGAAGCTAAACAGAACCAGGGAATTACATTTTTAATGGTCATATTTTGGAAGACATTTAATTGAAAAAGCATCTTTTTTTAAAGAAACTCCAGCAACTAAGTCCACACTTTGATAGTGTTTTCAGTGAATAAACACATTGAGATTCCTCTTTCTTTGTCATTTGCATTATAATACACACTGAGTCAAGACTTGTTTTTGATTGTAGATTCGATGACGACATCACCTGCCTGGAATGCTTTGCCACAGACATCACAGTGATCTGTCTGTAGGAAGCTTACTGGGACGTGGAGCTCAGCGACTTGACTCAGTATGGAATTATCTAGAAAAGCTCCTCATGTCATCGTGCAACCTGTTCTCCAGACCTATTCCCTGCTCTTCTCTGTCTAATGAGTTCACTCAAATTGTGTTTGTTGATGTAATGTTTAAAAACACTTTCTCAGAAAAAAATTCAAATATGAGTTAAAAGTCATTGTTGAGTTTTATAAACTTCTCTGAAGTCTCTATTCCTTATGGTAGAATTCTCAATCGCTCCCATACTTTGCACTTCCCATGTGTTTCCATAGATCTGCCTTTTTTTCCTTTTTTTTTTTTTACATTTCTTTATTGAGAATGACAATGCAATTAAAATTGATTTAATTTAACTTGGTGTCGATGTTATGCATTTTAACACTTCATATGAAATTTAAAGAACTTGGTAAGTTTACTTTTTAAAAGTGCAAATAATAGCCATCATCGTTTTTGTTTCAGTCTGATGCTGTGGGTGTAACTTTTGTGTTTGAGCTTGGTTTGTTCACAAATACATCTCAGCAAATAGCCAATTATTCCTTATCCAACCTTGCTGTACCCAAATAAATAAGTGAATAAAACACCAACCAAACTGGAACCAGTTGGAATGGTGAAGAGCTAAGCAGGAGCATAGTCACAGGCAGCCATTTTGAACATACTTCTTTCACAAGATGAAAAAGAAATGGTAAGATGATACAGTATAATAATTGTAGTGGGAGTGAATTCATGGATTTAGTTCACATTAGTGAGGTTCATACCTACTATATACCAAGACTAAGCTATTGCGGGCTGTGGTCATTAATCTCATGATTACCAAATAATTGGTTCTAAAGTCAATAAAGTCAGGCTATGTAACAATCTGTTTCTGGCTTTTTTCTTGTGATTTTGTTTCGGCATTCAACCTCTGTACATTTTATGCAACTATGACTTTTTATCCCACATTGCATAGTGACCATGACTTTTGTTATTCAAATTTTACTGACAATAAACATTTATTAGACATTATTAAAATATCATGAATTTGTGCTGTTGAAATCAAAACAATTTTCAGCATTAATGCAAGAACAACCTACATTTTAATGCAACTTTTCTGCAAAACTGTCTTATCCATGCGTAGATATGGGCTGGTATTAAAAAAACATTCCTTTCCTTTACATTTATAATTAAAGACTTACTTAAACAACTGTGTATAGTAGCAGGTAAAATGGCAATTATTTCATTTTTTTTCTGCTACATTGTGTTAAATTGTAGTTAGTTAATAAAACACTTATTTGCCTCATGTCTTTTCCCTTTTTTTAAAATCAAAATCAGCTAACTGAAGTCAAATTACCAAATTATTCAATGATACATTTTAAGAAAATTTGATTGGAATTGGTATTGGGGATTCTAACCGTTTTGACTTGGTTTTAGATCGTTACCAAAATCCCCAGAATCACACAGCCCTAAATACCAGATGAACAAAACAACAAAAATACATAGACCAGCACTTCTATTTGATCGTGTTCTTAATCTGTATTTTGTGCTAATATTTATCAGAATATAGTTAGTATATATTAGCATAAATGTAAAAGCCGAACCCGTTAGGACAGTCAATGCAATTTTAAAGGAAAAACAAACAGGAGGCTCAAGCACAACAAAACATTTTATATAAAACATTTTATATGGACATTCAATAACAAAAAAGGAAAAAATAAAATAAAACAATGGTAGTCAAAGGGATACAGACAGGACAAAGGGACCGTTTATTGAAAAACTATATTAACTATGAAGAATGACCACATAGTTTTCTATAATACAGGGTCAAGAAAGCCATGACAGGAAAATGAAGCTGCCAAATTCCATTTTCTTCAGCAGCCATTTTGTTTGTCAGCAGGCAACTTTTTTTTTTTTTCTTTTTTTGCCAACAGCGATGTGCTCTTTGTTGTCAGCTAGATTGCAACCGCTAGCTGCCCATCAGGAAGTTTAGTGGTGATGGAGGGTGCTGCGGCTCTCCGCTGTAGGAATCAAATGAGAACTCACGAGATTCATGCAAGACGTTTTTTTTTTCTTTTTCTTTTTCTTTCTTTTTCTTTTTTTTTTTTTTTTTTTTTTTTTAAATTGAAAACAACACCTCTGCTTGTTTTCTCCATACTTTTTAGT